TAAGGAGAAACAAGAGGGAAAGATAGTGTGTGTTCTTTGTTGCCATATGTCACAGTGAGGTATGTGCTCCCAGCTCTTCTGCCAGCTCTTCACCTCTAAAGCAACAGAAGAGCCAAAATATTGTTTCTCTCTTTGTGGAACACTGGTCTGCAGAAGTATGTGCTGAGGAGTACTTTAATGAGGCACTAACACTCTCTAACATTTGGCATTTCAACATTCATTATATTTGGGATTCAGAGCTCTAAAATACTCACAGATCTCTTTGTACCTTTGCCGTAGGTGTTCTAACTCAAGGAGCAAAATCTGTCTGGACAGGCTGTGCTCTGTGCCCACAGTCATATGAACAGACTGGGTGTTTCAGCTGCCAGGCCTCCAGTCCCATCTGTTCAGAAGCTGCTTATGTGGGTTAGATGCTGGTCAGACCCCTGCCCCTACTCCAGAAACGCCACATATGAGATGCCTGACAGATCAGCTTGAAACAAGGCTTGTGGTAAACAGCGAGATGTGCATGATTTAAAACCAACACAGATTATAATGAATCTTCATTAATTAGAGAACTTTATCTAAAGTCACAGTGCACTGTATGAATGTTATTTTTAACTTCAATTGTTAACGGGATAAAAATTTAAGCTAAAAGAAGATTATAGTTAGTCATGTTTCTGTCCATCATGCCTTCATACACTCTGTCACACCTGTTGACATTTCAGTTCCAAAACTCCTTTTTTGAACAAGACTGTAGCAAAATAACACATTACAGGAGGGCAAGTAAGGCTTGTAGATGCCAAAAAGACAGATTATATGCAGCAGGCATCCTGGAAAAAAAAAAAAAATGTTTGGAAAGCCACTTGATCTCTTTAAGTTTGTTCCAGTGAAGAACTGCTTACAGACAGCCCCACTGCATTCACCGACACCTGCAAATAAACTATAAAAGGAGTTAATCAGATGAGACATAACTTGGACCCTGCCAGTCAAAAAGTAATAAGCTGAACTGGCCAACCTCTGAGTGCCTAATGTCCTTGTTAAAAGACAAAGGACAGCACAAAATATTACTTCCCTGATAAGTTTGTTGCAGTATCACCTACAGATCCCATCTGAGACCTGACCTTTGTTGTATTATAGTGTGTACAAACAGCTTCTGCAATCTAAAAAGCAGAGAATCCACAGAAATGAGGTTGGTGGTGGGCAGCCACAGAAGACTGACCCAATGTGGGTACATAATATGTAACCTCTTCCTTTAGCAGAGAGCAGGGAGTAAAGCACTATACCAAACACAGGGCTGGATGCTTGAACCATTGCACCTAGCCTCCTCTGTTTGCATGGCAGCTTGCCTTTGTGCTGTATGCACTCCTAAGTAGAAGTTTAGGGGTGACCGTACACATGTCAATGGTGGCTGCAGATCGTCTGACACACAAGCTAAATACAGCAGAGAGCATATGTTAGACAAGGGAGAGAGATACTTTAATGGCTCTGAAAGCAGTTCAGTCGTTGTTTATTTTGAGATGTGACTCATTGTGTTTACCTTTAGCTATAGCAGTACAATGAGGAAGTGTCATTTATCACAATTATGTGTTCACCTTCCGGAGAGAGACATGGAGGTAATCCTGAACTTCACTGTTATCTGCTGGATTCACAGAATGTTTGGGATTAGATAGGAGAGATCAGGTTCCTCTTCTCTTGCCACCAGGCTTTGCTGTTTAAATGTCCATTTCAGCAATGCTTCTTCATACAAAGATTGCTGAGAGTCACTATGAACCTCTCTAATGATGGTAGAGTTACAGGTGCCTTTTGTTTGACAGTGTAACCATGTTCCTTTCTGCAACCAGATAATAGAAGCAATTTTGGGAAATAAGAACTCTCATCTGTGAAAAAGCCTAAGACTTCCGCTGAGAAATTGTTCCAAAACAAACCTCAAAGAAGTATTGAAGTAAAAATAAGAGGAGAATGTTTGAAGGCTTAAGTCACTACTTATTGTTTTTATTTTCTCTCCCCTTCTTCCAGTCATCTTCTTCTGTAACCAAATATCCTCCACGGTACAATATGTCTTATTTTATTCATGACTGTAAACAGTTTTCCCCTTGAAAAGAATCCTTTAGAGTACAAACAGCATAGAGCATGGCAGGAAATACAGCAACTGGTGGTCTCAGTGCCGTGGGGGAAAAAAGTAGGTTTTGTCATTTCTGACTTATTAAGCAATTATAAAATTACTTCCAGACATCAGCTGAGATCATCCTCTTCAACCCACTGGAACTGGTACAACTTAGGTTGTAAAATTAATAACTAAGTAAGTAAGTAAATAAATAAATATAAGCAAACAGCAACAGAGTGCACAACCCCATAATCTGTTGCTTCATTAATGCAAGATGTAAATGTTTCTCTTAATCTTTCTGAGCCCTAGGAGTACAGTGTGGTGTATCATGATGACAAGGCAGGGTTACTTAAGGGACACTCTATACACCCTTTTTAACTCAAATGCATTCGGTGCCATTGAACAAAAAGCCTTAATTTATTTCATATGCAAAGCTCTGATTGTATTGCTTGCTTAATCATGTTGATGTAGACAATGTGATTACTAAGAGATGAAAGTTCTTTCACCTATAGCTCAACTTCAGGTAACATTAGAAGTAAAAGTCCGAGGCTGGTTCCAAAATGTTGCGTGACACAAGACTTCTGTTGACAGCTGGGCTGGGCACAGAACAGGGAGACTCAAAGTGCTTTGAGTTCCCCGTGATGCTGTTGGGAATACAAGCAGCAAGTAAGTTCTGGCTGTCCCCACAGCCACCAACTGGAGGTCTTTGTTGATGCCACTTGAGAGTGCAGACTGCAGGCACACAGCTGCTTCTGCAGTGCAGATCTGCTGACAACATAGGTGCTTCCCAGGTAGCTGCTGGCAGAAATGAGTCAGCTCAGCATCTTTGGACATCTGGAATTTTAGCTGGATAGTTAGGAAGGTCATTACATGCCCAGGGAGATAGTGGAATCATCATCATCCTTGATGGTGCTCAAGAAATGACTGAACATGGCATTTAGTGCCATGGTCTAGTTGACAAGTTGGTGAAGAGTAAAGGTTTAGACTCAATGACCTGAGAGGTCTTTTACTACCCAATTGGTTCCATGATTGCTTTAGTACAACTCCAGATGCTTGGCCAACAAAATTAAAGTCAAATGTACCAGTACACAAGTTACACAATAAATTTTAAATGTTACCCTAGGTTTTGTAATTATCTATTAGGGGCATCTAATTTAGAGTTGAGATTTCTTGACCTTAGCTGAAAAATTAAGGCAATACTTGTTTCTGCATGGAAGGGACAGGGAGGGGAAGGCAAATCCAGAGTGACTGGGAAGATCCCAGCCACACCTCCGAGGAGAGGAATGCTCCTTGCCTGGCACGCAGCCCAGCCTGGGGGATCTTCTGGGCTGGAGAAGGCAAAGCTCTCTGGAGTACCGTGGTGTGGGGAGAGTTCCAGGGCTACAGCCCCTGGCATTGGCACAGGTGGAGTGTGAGGTGCTGGGTCTGCTCATGACAGCCCACCTTGGCTCTAGAAAGGGAAGGACAACTTAGAAAAGAAAATAAAATCCAAAAGTAAATATAAAACCTACCTAAACCAAAAACCAACCAACCAAACCAGCCAGAGAAAACCACAAACAAACAAACAAACAAACATACAAACAAAAACAGCCATAGAAAGCAGCAGTAAAACCTGACCAAGCCCTGGTTGAGCAGTGAATCTGAGATGTGGGCACTGCTATCCTTCTCAGTGAGATTTGGTGGGCCAGGGGCAACTTTTTGGGGGTGCAAGAAGGCTGGAAGGATAAGGGCTGGAAGGGAGTGACCCCAGCCTTAGGAGACAAGCCCTGGAGGATAGATGGGGAGATGCTCTCCAGGGGTGGTGGGTTCTCCAACAGCTCTCCTGGTGCAATCTCTCCCCCTGCCCTCCTGCTTGTGGGAGCAGACTAGTACCCCCCGTCCGGCATGGGGCTCCCCGATTTTGCATTTGGCTCCCTAAAGGTGGTCCTGATCACCCAGAGTCCTGAAGGTGTCTGCGGGGATATCAGGGACCGTCTGCGGATGCGAGAGCCACGGGTGTCGTGGGGTCCGGCCAGCACAGCCCTGGCTCCGGCCCGGCTGCCGGCTGCCGTGCCCAGGTGTGCGGGTGCGGGTGCGGGTGCGGGTGCGGGTGCGGATGAGCACCAGCACCTACGTGCGCCCCTGCCCGCGGCTGTGCGCGCAGGGGGCGCGGGCGGAGGAGGCGAAAGGGGGCCGGTTCTGCGGCGGGCGGCTCCCAGCCTCCCCCGCCCCCTTCCCTCTCGGTCTGCCCCTCGCTCCGGCTCTCATTCTATCGCAGGCGGCCGGCGCAGCCCCGTCTCCCCAGCCCCGGCTCCGGCCCCGCTGCTCTCTTCTCGAGAGCAGCGCTCCGCGGCTCCGCGCCCCTCGGCGGGGCCATGCAGCGCCCGTGCCCGCCCGGTCCGAGCGCAGCCCGAGCGCCTGGCGGCACAGCAAAGCTCCGCGCCTCCGCGACACTGCCTGCTGCTCCGGCGTGGGGAAGGGGCTGGAGGGGACAGCAGCCCCTGCGGCAGGGACACCTGCTGCAGGCGGTGCTGCTCCCCCCCTGCCCGTCCTGGGGGCCAGCCGCCCCGGCTCCGCGGCGCAAGGTAAGGCGATGGATTGGATGCATGGACGGATAGATGGATGGAGAGGGGTTGGGGCATCCTCTGCGCGCGGGTTGGAATTGCGAATTTATGCCGCGATTATCTTTTTTACTGTGTTAGTGTGTGCAAACAGTGCAATCGCCCGCATGCACGACTCTCGCCGGGGTCCGGAGGGTCCGGTCGCACTTGCCGGGTCTATAGGTGCTGAGCCTGGCCGGGACTGCGTTTGCCCGCACTGCGTCCTCAAATGAGGCACGGGGAGCGGAGGGGAAGTTCGGGCTGAAGGAGCCCCTCTCTCCGGGGCGGGAGAGCCCGCCGTGCCCCCCGGAGGGCTGGCGAGGTGAGAGGTTGAAATGTTAATCTCAGTGGATTAGCAGTGTATCCTTTGAGAAAAAGGAGAGCTTGAGTTCTTGGTCCCCTGAGTACTGGATGCAATTGTTTGAGAAATCTTGAGTTTCATCAGCTAGATACAAGGAAATGTGCAAGTAAGCCTTGAATGATCTGTCAGAAGAGTTTGACTTTGTTGCAGCCGTTTTGGAAACTTGTTTGAACTGATAGTTGTTCCCCAGATGTTTCTTTGCTTGGTTTTAGTGCATTTCACATGAGACAGTGAAAAGGGATCACCACAGGATTATTAGTAATTCAGAGCTTCTTGGAGAGCCATATTCCAGCCATCAATTTGCTAAAATAATGGCTGGAATATGAATTGCTGCACTTTTATGATATAGTGTATCTATTGTTTAAATACATCATTTGTCTTATCCACTCCAGCATATGTATTTATACTGGAAAGTTTACATAGTGAGTAAAAATAATAATACAGTCTCACTGAATGAGGTTAATTGCAGTTCAGTCATGCTGAAATCAAGAAGCGAGACATAATAGCAAGAGAACAGACTGATTCTGTCCTCATGGGCACTGGATATGCCTACAATGACTGAAGTCAGGCACTTATCAGAAGCAATTCCCAGTACAGATGTGCACACTGCCTTAGTCTGAATGACTTTTCAGTTTCATTAGTGTATATCTAAGTTTTGCCAGTTGCTCATGGAGTCAGCACAGATGTGTCCCTCTTACCTTTCCCTTTTCCCACAGTTTTGTGTCTGTTGGGATTCTCTGCAGCTCTATACATAGAGAAGATGAGCGTCTGTGACTAGCAGTGAGTAGCTGGGGCTAACAGAAAAACAGTGAGATGTCCAGACTGAAATTTCATGTCTGCATTCAGATGAGACTATAGAGAAATCTCTGCTGCATAAAATTCTCTGGTGTTTTCAACTAGAAAGTGATAAGGTTTCCTCTGTTAAGCTTGGCCACTTAATCTGAAAATGAGGAATCATTTTGGAAACTAGAACTCTGTCTGGTTAAGGAAGGGATCTTTAATTACATGGGGAAGACTCTGCCATTCTACAAGTGCTGTTCACAGATCTTGCTGAACTGTCTCATGAAATATTTGTATTCCTTGCTCAAAGGTTTCTAGTCCCAAAGCTGCACTATTTTTTGACAAAGCATCACCCCCATTACAAATTCATGTCATGCAGACATTCTAAACTTAGCTTGAAGGGCTTCCTTTCTGCTTCCTCACCAGTTTTTGAAGGTGAGGGTAACTTTTTTGGTTTCTTGCTCAAACAAAAATGCATCAATCTTCTTATGCAGCAGATCTCTGCTGGCAAGAATAGGACTGCAGGTTTTCCTTCTCTTCATCATGCAAAATAGCTGTACTGTTGCAAATAGGAAGTTGTTCCTAATTTCTTACTTCCCAAGTAACTAGAAAGTTTGTGGTTAGAAAGTTCAATACTGGGACCTGTCAATTTCACTATCAGTTTCCTTTTGTTTTATTATTTTTTTAGATGTCTAATGTTTATACCAAGGATAGATTTATTTGGTACAAGGCCAGGTTATGACCACCACCAAATGCAGCTCCATTAATTTCAGCGGGAATGGTGCCCGCGCCCTCTGGCGACTGTCCGGGGCCTTGGAAACTCCGCAGCGCTGTCGCCCACCTCCTAATGCAGCTTTACTGCTGAGAAACGCTCGAAACCTCCGAAGTATTTTAATGCTCCCGCTAAATCCCCGTGAAAACTAACTTCCGCGACAGTAAAAAATGAAGATTACAGCTATTGCTGTCAGTCCCTTGCATTTAGGGCATCGGAGGTTTTAAAAACCTGGAAAAGATAATAAGGACTGAAGTTTTGATTGTGTTCTTTTTGCATGTACGCTTTGAACATGGGCTATGAGCACCTGTGAGTGTGGATGTGACTACATGACTGATGTACTGAATTTAGGGACGGCAGAGCAGCTATGAATTCTACACAATCCCTTGCTGTCCACTTAAACGTAAGTACATGCTTTGATTTAATTTTCTGCTAGTGAGATGAAATTTTACTTAACTGAAAAAACCAAGCTTCTGCACAGCAAGTGATAAGCAGCAGGGTTTATTTCTTCTTTGCTTGAACTTGAAGTAATGAACTTGAGTGTTTTAGAAGTAACACGAAACAAAGGTGTTGCCAAAAGTCAGTGATGAAGTTACTGAAATTTGACTCGGAATCATTTGCTGGCCTCATCTGTCCAAGCATTGTGAGTGATCAGCAGAGGCCTGGGGAGCACTGCAGGACCACGTGCAGGCAGGGGGGTGGGCAAACAAGGGGCCAATTCAGAGCAACTGGAAGGCATCCCAGAAAAACAAACTATAGAAATGTTTCAACCACCAAGCCAGGACTTCACTAAGCCTCTCAAGGAGGGAGTTGGTACAGCCAGCTCCCAGCAAGGATGATCAGTGGGCCACGGTGCCAGCACCAGCCCTGTCACCTGGGAGCCCTGCACACCTCTTCAGGGCACCTTCTTCTCTGGCCATTTCAGCAAGCAGACCACGTGCATGGCAGTGAAACATCAGGCTGCCCTGCAAGCCCCATCTGCTAGTGTTCTATATTTTGGGTGTACTCCTGGGAAAGTGCTTACTCATTTCACTCCATAGGAAGTGAGGCAGCCTCGCTGCTTCAAGAATAATTTATTGTCGTTAATAATAATACACTGCTATAGAACTTTTCATCCCAAGGGATGAAAAAAGCAATTTAGAATCTCCAAGCAACTTTCAAAGTGGAATAGTTTGTGTTTTAAGGCACATGCAGCAGTGACAGTGGAGTGTCCCTGGCTGTGCCTGTGCCAGTTATGTGCACAGAGGAAGTGTGCCATGCCACAGAATCAGGAGAGAAAACAGTGGCAATGAGTGAATTAAACATGTCGGGGGGTGCAAAACTATCTACACTACTGCATTCAACGGGATGAAGCCACTGGGGTCACAAGCCCCTTTCTCTGGGCATAGGAAACAAAACCTCCCTGCATGAATCAGTGCAAAAAGGAGAGGTGATGTACCAAGTAATGGAGTTTTCAGAAAGGAAAGTAGGGTAAAAGAAGACCAGAGAGATACCAGTGGTTCCTTCACTCATGCTTGCTTTGCTGCCTAAAGCTAAGATGTAGTGCTTGCTGGACACCAATAGTTAAAGTATCAGTGTGTCCTTGATGCTTTTGTATCACTCAGACTGGAAAAGAAAATAGCAACAAGAACTACTCTTTGGTCATGATTTCCCACTGCAACCTAAGTGCCCAGCACAGTAAACTGTGACTTCAAAAAAATAAATTAGACAAAAATGAAGAAAACATAAAGTTGCACAAATATTAACAAGTTTGTGCAGTGTTAGGGTCAGAGTAAATAAACTGATTTTCACAATTTAATGGAATAATTTAGCAGACAAGCGACAGATTTTTTTTTAGGTTGATGTTCTTGTTTGAAAGCAAAACCAGCAAGAGAGTCCAAGTCAGAAATACAATTTATTAGGAAAAAGGAAAAGAAACAAAATACATGTCATAATACAAAAGAAAAATCACTGACAGAGTCAGAATACAACCTGACACTCTTTTGGCCAGTGTGTTGGCAGGTCCAAATAGGATTGGCTGCAGTCCTCCTGGAGTGGCAGATGTGGTTCTGTCAGTGCAGTGGTGCTGTAGAAGGGTGAAGTCTTCCTCTGAAGGTCCAGTGGAAAACCCCAGCTGTTCCACTTGGAAGCCAGTGGAAAGGCTGCCTCTGATGTCCCCAAAACCCAGATTATATCCAGTTAGGAATGCTTGGCTCCTCCCTCTGGGCAGAGCATCTCACCATGGGATGTTGTAGTTCTTATCAGTCATGCAGTGGCATTCAATAGCCCATTATCAGCAGATGTCTCCCCGGAGGGAGAATTGGTCATGCAAGAGACAAGGAAAACTGCTCACTCAGCAGAAGACAACTGCCATACAGATGGGAAATGGAATACATCTTTCTTCTCAGTCTGGAACAGCTGAATGTGAAGTATGAAACCCCAATCAATTCTCAAAACAATGAACATTGCATAAATAGGACTGATCTGTGAAATTGGTACTTCAGTTTAGGCTTCAAACAATAAGGCTTCTTAACATCTGTACTCTCTGTGGATGCAGAGCTATCACCACAGAAAAAGCAGGCTCGCTCTGCTGAACACCATGGTTTGGTGACACTCTGGGCAGATCTCTGACCCAAAGCTTTCTGGTAAGTTGTCATTTGTAGGTGAAGTAAAAATGAATAAGAAGTACTTCATGTTCCCACATTTGCTGACTAATATACAGTCCCCTGTAGATGGAGAAAACCTGCCAGATGCTTGTTCTTGTTGATAACACTGGACATTTTCAATGTTCTGTGCATGGAAATTGCCTGTTAATATTTTCTCCAAGATTTATGCTTACACAGAAATTAGGAGCAATTAGAAGTTTTGTTAAATAAATTGAACTGACAGCTCTTCACTGTTCTCATGGGAAATCAGTGTGTGCTTCAGTAAACAAGCAGATAAATCACACTTTGGAAGCAGCCCACTTCTGCCATAGACAGTATTACTTGGAGGAAACACACCAGTCAACAGGATAGTTGTGGCAGATTAAAAGGAGGAGTATTTTCAGTTCTGTGAAACAAGATGTCACAAGTCTTTTGTTATCTTATGATAACATAAGTAAAGTAACAGCTGCATCTCATTCTCCTCTTCTCCAGTTAAAAATTATTGACTGGTTGCTGTGCAAATTTCATTTGAGTTTTTCACACAAATCTATGACCAATTTTTTTATTCCATATCCTTGTGTTTCAGGGGGAAGATACTAGCATAATTTCATGAGAAACTTGCTTTTTTATAAGAAGAATTTTTTGTCAGATTTTAATTGCATTTTTTTCCAACTAATTAGGGTAAAACTGGGTACAAGACATTTGCAGGAGAACATGGACTAAAAATATATAAAGGCAGAATGACAAGTATATCATCATTGATAGTCTTTAATGGATTTTTTTAATAGGTTCCTCCTTTACGTGTGCTGATTTTGCACTTGTATTGATCTTTAAATGTTAAGTCTCTCATTTGCAAAAGCTGTTAATACTCTGTCCCTGTGTAAGTCACACTAAACAGAAGGAATGACCATCTCTGAATATCCTACCATATGTGTTCCAATTCATCTTCCTTCCTTGCCTTTTAGGTAAAAACTGCTGTAGAAGAAATAAGCTAGTTTAAGAACAGTGAGATGCTCACTTTTATTCCCCCTTAACTTCTTTGTCCTGTTTTTTTTCTGACTTCTTATGTGTTTCTTTCTCCCTTTTCTTCACAAGCTTTTCCATGGCTGAATAGTAACTTCAGATGTTCTCTGCTACGACAGGGATTGACAAGGGCTGGCTGCTCCCTGCTGAAGCATGTGCTAGTTTTATTTTAAGGACTGTATTTTTAAATGGACTTTGAACATATTGGATGAATAACTCAGTTAACAAAAATCAGATGAACTACTAGAAGAAAACTGGTGCTTTGATGTTATCCATCCAGGTTCTTAATCTCTTATAAGTGAAAATGGTGTCAGACCTTGTGTTCTTCTTTCTTATTTATCATTTTCCATTAATTCAGCATGTAGCAAATAAGGGAAGAAGGACAGAAATCTGTTAATTTCCAACAGAAAAAAAAAAAAATTATGTTGCCTCTGTAAGTTGTTTGAATACCACATATGTAACATGCTACTGTTCCAGGAACTATTCCAGGACATGCTGGTGTGGAAGACAGTTGAAGTGACAGGGGATCTCCAGGATGCAGGGCAAAACCGAGACTCCAGTTATTTTGTCGTTACTGGAAACTATATTATTTCTCATTTTTATGGAAAAATAAGGAATTAAACAGAACATTTCTTCCTGATGGGATGGTCTGGAGTAGTTATTTGTGCAGTGTTCTGATGACTTTCAATGATGTGTTGCCCATATATTGTAAATTGTGTAAATTGTGTGACTGTGTTACCCTGCAAACTTCAATATTTTATTACATAAAGAAGACAGGGAATCCATCTGTATGGAAGCACAAATCAGGTTCTCCTGAATGTAAGTGGCTAATTGTATACCTATAAATGTAACTTTCAGAGGTCACCATCTAAAAGCATGATTTGTGCCTGTTTGAAAAGTGTACCTGACGCATACTTGAGCTTCTCCTTTTAACTAATGCAAAAGAGAATGATTTCTGTAATTTTTGGTTGTCAGTAGCACTGTAAATTTTGTGTTTCTAACAAACTCTTTAGAAGTGCCATTGTGGGAATTCAACAGTATCTATCTTTAGTCTTAAATGAAAGAGGCTCGTTTAAGAAATATTTATTTCCTCTTTGACTTTCAGATTTGCAAGTTCAACATGGTATAAAAGACAGATTGGGTTCATTTTCCTCTCAATAATTGTTACCATTGCTAAGAAGTCTGCAGCTCTTGATAAGGTGGTATTTTCCCTGTACTTCTTTGTACAGATGGTATATTGTGAATTTCTTACAGCTTCAAAATAGGATTAAAGGTGAAATGAATTGCAACAGCCATGCTCAAAAATTCCTCTAAGTACTAGAGGTCAGTCCTTGCGAGCAACAAAACATATGTTTTCTCAACCTAAATGGAATAAAGATAATATATATACATATATAATGCATATTCCTGTATATGTGTGTGTGTATCTATACTTAAATATAAAAATATACAATTAAAATAACAGATAACAGGTAGTAAAACCTTCAGTTCTATTGTGGAATTTTAATATCCCCAAATTGTAGTAGACATGAAATAAAACATAAAAATGTGTAATACAAATAATCATTGCCTCTGATTGGTTTTTCCCCCCATGATTAGTAAAATATCTGAGCAATTAACTGAGATGAAGAAAACGTAACTTAATTCTTTTTTTTTTTTTAGGGGAGCAAATGACTGAATGGACAAGCCTGATTTTCTGTATATATCTCAAGCAAAGATGGCATCACCTCACTAAGTACTCCTGTGCTCATGTATGGCTTTTTGTTCTTGTCCACAGCCATGTGAACTCATTACCTACATCTACAAGGACAGCTATGAGCATTCAATTGTGTTTGATATTGTAAAGCTGAGTAATCCCTTTCTTCCCTGATTTATTAATATGACATTGGTTCTGTGTTCAGCACTCCTGTGAATGTATGGTCTTAGCAAGGAGGTGCTTGAAAAATGATGTTAGGGCTGAAAATTTAAAAGTATTTTTTGCTTGTTTAGATTATTTTACTGAAGTTACTGTAGCATAATTTATTAGAAATGTTAAGTGTCTTGGTATCCAGTTGTTCCAGTTACCATGAGATAAGTTTGCATTATTTTTCCTAGTCTATTTATTCCGTTTCCTTAAGAGGTGATTGTGCCAAATAGTGTGAGTTTCTACAACAAGAAGTATACTTACATCTGTAAACTCTGAGAAAAACCTCTCAATTAAAATGTTCAGTGTGGAGCAGGCCCAGGTCCTGCTTGTCCTTTTACTCCATTCTCCAATAAAACCAAAAGGTCTTTAGCAAGCATACATAGCAGTGGAAGACAGTAATGCATCTTAAGTCACTGAACGATTTAAAATGTGTAGAACTATGGAAAATAAATTCAGTGTGTCCCAACAGTGATTTGAGCTTTTGTTTCAAAAACTCTTTAGATGCAACATTTTTCAACTAAACTTTGTTACTCTTTATTAGCTGTCTGGGATGGGGAGTACATCTTACTCCTATGTTACTGGTACTAATTGCACTGTTTATTTGTCAAATTGACCTAGCAAAGATCTGATAAGCTGTGAACTACTATGCCTATGTAATTGTAGGTTTCACTCAACCAAATATTCTGAGCTGTGTGTTTCTTTAACAGGGCTTAAATCCTCATTGAATCAGGCATTTACTGATCTGCAGCTTCAGCTTGCTCATCCATTTGTAGGTAAGAGAAAATGAACTGAAAAACAACATTTAAATCTGGATATAGTTTCTTCAAATCTTTTATATATTACAAATTTATATTTACAATAAAGGTCATGGGTCTTTGTTTCAGTGATGTTTTATTTAACACCATTAGTAAGGGTATTGCTAGCAATAATGATGTAGTATGAGTTCCTCCTTTGTCATCTCCCTGTATTCTCTATGTTCCTGTGCTTATTTTCTATTATTTCTTTCTACTTTTCCCTGAGAGATACAGCTTGCATTATACTTCTCTGACCTTTCAGAATTCTAATTGTCTTGAAGCTTCAGCACTACAGATTTTCTTCCCTGTTCCTTCTCTGACCTTCTTTTCTATTTAACTTCACCCTCAACAGTTCCTCCACTGCTTCGCACTGAGCTGACAAATAATTTTATTGCACCCATTATTTAAAATTGTGTCCTCTTTATTTTTTCAGATTTCAGTACTTCTCTCCTTGTTTTGCTTTGTGTGGTTTTTTTTCCCCTAACTATATTCAGTACTTGTGTGTTTCATGCCCAAATGTTTCTGATATCAGTTATGTGCAGGAAATGATAATGGAACCCCTGTCCTATACTGAATTTGGCTGGAATGGTGAGTCAGTAATCTCCTCTCTTCACTAGTGCTAGATAGATGATTTTATTGTTACTGTAGTTATGCTGCCTGCTGTAGCCTGTGATTTTTTTAAATTACATTTTTCTTCATGATGCAGCAGGTTATTTTCTTCAGCACAATTTCTGCTTTTAGATGTAATATAATGGCTGGAGTAATTACAAGATGAAATGTGTTTTACTACAGAAATGTCACATCCATTATAAAACCTGAACCGTTCTCTTAGTAACAATGCAGTAATAATAGCATCAAATCAGTATCTGAGCCCTGCATCAGTACTTGAATTATTGTAGACCCACACTGTGCCACAGAGGAGCTTTAAAATGGAATATTGTGTGCTGAAATGGCAGGGTACAGCTACACACCCTGATGCAGACTGTTGGCTGCTCACGCTGAGGTCAGTAGTGCAGCTCCTTCCTCTGCAGGCACACTCAGCCTTGGAGTGAGCCTTGGAAAAAACCCAAGATCATTTCTACCCCTGTTGTCCTGTGTTTAGGTGGCCCTGGAAAAGCAACTTTTTTCTCTGCTGCAGCTTATCCATCTGTAAATAGTGCTAATAGATATTTTTCAGATATCTTTGTAAAGCCTTTTCACAAAAACAATTTGTACACTTCTGTGCTTCACTTCAGTATACCTTGGGCTGATTTTTGTCCAGCTCCCCATTTTTTTAGAGCTTCCATCAAGAGTGGAATGTAGTTTATCATTGCGTTACATAGCTTTTATGTGTATTACTCAAAACAAAATAATTTGGGGGTGATTTTTATGTCCTGCAACTCTGTTACCACCACCTCATCTATTTCACAGAGTTTCACAACACGAATATGCTACTCAAAGCACTAAAACATATTTCTCACCAGAGATCCTTCAGTGAACAGGACACCGGGTGTTTGATGAGATTTGCTGCCATGAATGTTTTCAGGAGAATTACAAGATGCTAAAGTTAAAAAAAATAGCTGTGATTTACAGCCATGGACCAGCTTCTTCTGTTAAACATGCTGTTATGGAGATGAGTGCAGTAGAAATCATTCCAGTAGTTATTATGAAGTTTCTTGTTTTGAGGGACTGCATAAAGAGCAAATGGGTGTGGAGCTTCTGTTTCATGAGAAAAACTGCAAAATGCCTCTGCTTGTCTGTTCTGCTGCAGAGCCTCTTCTCATATGTAGATGTGTCTGACCTACTTTTGTCTATGAGTGAAGGCAGATTCACTTTATAAAATGAGTTCCCAGAAATGAGTTGTATTCTGCCACCTTTCCTCTTGTGATCTTATTTCTCATTCTCTGTCATTTATTTTAAAGAAAATGGATGAAAGGCTGATAAATGGGCTTCTTGCATCTTGCTTTAGGAGCAGAGTTCCAGGAAGCTGCATTAGGAAAAGGCACTCTGTAAGGCAGTGAGACTGACACAGTTCATGCACTGTTTTCACAGAAGACAAACTGTGAATGAGCATGAGCATAGGAGGTCTTTGGAACTGGAAGACATGGACCAGCTGAGCAGCCTGGCTGCTTAGTTGGATGTTGTCATCCTCACTGCAAATCTCTCCCATCCATTGTTGCAAAAACTCCATTAGTTATGTTGTTAAGGTAGACATTACTTGTCCCTGATGACTTTAAAATCCTCAAGACAGTGAACTGGTTCTCTTGTAAAGTTTGAGGTGAAATCAGTAGTGCCCATAGTGCAGCTAATGAGAACACAAAACTTCTTTTGAGGTGTTTTCTTTCTTTATCTTATATTTTAAGAAATAAAGCTCAAAATTATTAGTGGTCATGTTGCTCTTAATAGGGCAACTAGGGAAGAGATACACTCTATATCTAATATAAATTGCTGCATGCTGTAAATTATGTATAATAAAGTATGGATTATTTTTTATTATTTTGCTGCTTAGTTTCTGAAAGGATTTTATACTCTTGTCACATGCTGTAAAAAAAAAGTTAGAAAGGAGTTCATTGTGGCAGCAGCTCTCTGGTCACAGAGAAAGCAGGCACAAACTTTCCCAGGCATTATCCTGGGGAAGGCTGTGAGATCAGAGAAAAGGATGAGAAACAATTCTTATCTCCACTTGCTGCAGATGCAGTTGTGCACATGTGCAATGTGTTATAGGGATTTGTACCAAAGGGTGATTTCTTAATTGGACACTGGATGGTGTTTGGGTGGATTGACCAATTAGATAAAAGCTGTATCAGACTGGCCATAAGGGTTACTGAGTTTCTTAATAAGAATAGTATGAATAGTATAAGATGATAATAATAAAATAATTGATCAGCCTTCTGCAATCATAAAGTCCATGCTAATTATTACCCGGCTGGGGACCTGCAGTGACAGTTCATAACTGTAATGATTCATTTAATCCATGTGGCCCTACAGAAAAATGTGATCTGTCTATGATAAATGTTCTAGGAAATAATGTAATTTCATTTTAGATTAAAAATACCAACTATAATAACATATACTTGGCCTTGGCATTAAAGAACATATTGTGGAATGAGGGTGTACTTTTATGAAAAAAAAATGTAAAAACCAATGTACAATAAATATAAATTTTGTGTTGAGAATAAATTGTTATTCTGTCTAATTAGGAATGAGCAAAAGGATATATGAAAAACTAATTGTAAGAAGGACACAGAAGGCTTTTACATTAAGAAAATGGAGTTATTGATTTAGATTCTTTTAATATTCACCAGAAATACTATGTGATCTTGCAGAAATGATAATATTGCTATGTAGGAAGGATTTTATGAATTTAAAGGATTTTTGCTCTATATTATAAAGAAAACATCTTTATTAAAAATTTATTAGGTGGTGTTTCTCTAGCATGCAGTTGAAACTCATGGAGCAATGTCCAAGATTGTTTTAAGCTATTAGGTTTTCATTCTGACTGTCATAATTAAATAATGTTAACTGGGTAAAAGACTTCCATGTGCTGCCATGTGACACATAGTCTATGAAAAGATTATATTAGGGTAGAGTATAACTCGTGTGAAAAAGCCCAAAGGAGAACTGTGTTTCTCGTTAAGACTGAATAATTTAGTTCCATTCTGGTGGATTCTATTGCAGATGAGTTATTTGAAATGCAAACCTCTTCCTTTTCTTCAAGTGTCATCTCAGCTTAGAGGTTAACAGGTGAGAGACTGAGGCTTACTGGAAAGCTCTGTTCTTGTTCATATGCCTCAGGCCTCCTCGTGAGAGTGAGTCTAGCAGGATCTGGCCTGCCACTTCTTTCACATTCACTGGATTGAATTTATTTCCTAAAGCACTTTTTGTCTTCATCCAAAAGGTGTGACTTTTTTTTTAAACCAATGAATTAAAAAAAAAACAAAAAAACAAAAAAAAACCACTTAGAATGCCACAATAAAAGTTTATGTAATTTGGTAAAGTTTTGTGTACTCTGGCATCCAGCACAATTTCAAACTTTGTTCACCTTGCAAAATCACCTCAAGGTGCCAGCGATCACTGCTGCTGCTTCCCCTGTGTCACATCCTGGGCAGAGAGGGAGTTTACTGTTTTTCTTGTAAAAATGTGAGGAAGTTCATTTCAAGCTGTATCTGCTAGAGCAGAGTCAGTGTGGAGGCAGACACAGTCAGGGCACTGCAGAACTAGTTTTACTGTTTCTTTCCATAAGGATAAGAAGCTGTCTGGAGACAAAGTTCATAAGCAAGAACATAAGTGATCCAAAAAGCTGCCACCAAATGACCTGGAAGCCTCCCAGGGGCTCTGTCCCAGACAGGTGATATTCTGGTCATTACATTCCCTGTATATAAGACAGTGAACTCAAAAATGCTCAAAATGCCTTTGTCTATTCTGAAGAGCTGTTGGAGTAATTCCTGAAAGTTGTTCAGTCAGATATTGGGGATCATATATTGTAGATTCATCATATAGCTAGAGAGGAAATTCAGCCATCATCAGGGTTTTTTAAATACATAGAATGCAAATGGAACTGAGTTCAGAATTTATTCTAACACCTAATTTTCTTGCTACTGTAAAAATATAAACTCTGTCAAACGAGAGTGAGAGAAGTTTAATGATTTTCTGTATCCCTTACGAATTGTGTATAGACCATATAAAAAGATATTGAATGAAAAGTCAGAACACCTTACTAAGGAAATAAATAAGGTATAAATATAATCCTCAGAATCATCTAAATTTAAGTTTATTTAGGTCCTTCATTTTTTTCAAGTTTTCCTATTGATAACTGCAGAATCATACCACCATAGCATTCATATATATATATAATGTTTGCTATAAGTGTATAAAATCGATGAAGTCACTTAATTTGCAGCTATTCTTGGATAAAGGGAAAACTTAGCCAAAATCTTCTAAACCTCATAAAACAAATGCATTTTATTACTGTTTTCTGTACAGGAGAGGACTACAGACCAGAAGAGCCCAAGGAAAAGACTCCACTTTCAGAATAAAAGAGCTGTGTAAGTCCATTAAATAATTATTCAGACATTAGGGGTTAATAGTGGATAAGATTTGCTTTCAGAACACTGTCCTTCATTGGTATTTTCAGCAAGTTTTTTTTTTGATTGGTAAAAGTCTGCTTGATTTGCAAAGAGAAAGAGTGGAACCGGACTATAAAAAACACATTGGAAATCGACATCATACCATGTTTGAAAAAGTCTAAAATTGTTGTGCATAACGAATGGAATACCTTATGTTATTTCTGTGTTTTAAATACACCTTTACAGTCACATGAAACTAGTCATTGGGCCCTTCTGAACATTTCCAAATGCTGTAACATATTAATATTAAAATGCTACTTTTTGTTGTTTGTGAAAAATGCATATTTTATGATTGGCTTTTTGCAAATGTTACAATGAATATAATATGTGTAATGTTAGAAAGTTATGCTGTATTCATTCTCTTAAGTAGTGTGTTAAATACAGTTTTAGGATCCAACATAATGTTAAAATAGAAACTCTGCTACGTGAAGGGTTTTTTTTTAAGGAATGAGATACTTGCTTCGAGGGAATACCTACATCTTCCAGAGAAGAGGAATTTATGGTTTTCTTATCAGAAGCTAATTTCTTCTGGCCTTGCTCAGACTGGAAGACGCCATGGGGATTAAAAGAAACAGTTGACATACAACAGAGAGAGTTCTTGTTTTAAATGGAATGTATGCATATCCATGAAGGATGTATGAATATGCAACAGGCTATTGCTTTTAAGGTTATTCCTTTGTTCACAAGGTGTGCTTTTCGTGATTTAGTGTCCAAGAGCATCCCGAGGTCTGTAATTCTTTGCTTTTTATTGGCTTGTAATTGTCCTAACTCGAAATTTTATTACTCTAATTGTATTACTATTTTTATAAACTTCTTTATTATTAAACTTCTAAAATTGAACAGCTGGTTGAGAGTTCTTGTTTCCATTTTCTTATGTTTAGAAACACCATCTCTTAATTGCAGTTACCTGTTTTGAGTTTTCTCTAGCAGCAGTTCACATTACAACGGATCATGGCTGATAATAGCACTATTATTGACTTGTAACAATCAACTTTGGTTCTGCCCCTGCTTCAAGCTGTTCTTTTCATTACTTTTCTCCTTCTCTATTTGCACGTGAATGATTCACATAAGCCTCTATCCATTTTCTGAGTGAATCCTCTCTAAGAGGGACAAAAAGCCTGATGCTTTTCCACTCACCTGCTGAGAGCTAGCCTTTTAAAGTACAAGGTTGTGTTTTGGTTTCTCTCAGCTCCATGCTGTTTCGGGTGAATAAAATTCTGGTGAATAAAAACTGAACTGCAAAGAAGGTATCAGAATAGTCAATAGCTGCTTAGCTAAAAGGAATGGATCTTCTTCAAGACAAAGACCTACAAAATTCTTAGCTTTTTATTGAATTGCATTTCCTGAGAATGGGTTTTGGGGTTTGAAATCAAATGTTAAAACATGCTTTGTAAATTTTATTCTGAATTCTTTCTAGCTTTCATGCCTTTCCCAAGGTGTGAATTTTAACCACAGATACTATGTTATAAGAAGAAAACTGCCAGCATCATAAAGACATGAAATGTCTTTTCCTTGCAATTTTCTGCTATTCATTGTCCCTTCACAATGCATCAGCAATGCTTGCTGAAATCATGATCTGATGAAGGCTCTTTTAAAAACTTGCAGACAAGAAGTCATTTTCAGCAGTTTTCTATGAAAAAGGAGACCAGAAAGCAGGAATTTCAGAGCCTTCAGACAGAGTGTTAGAGTATATAAAATTAATTGCAGGTGGAGTGTATGGATTCTCCAGTTTCCGTATCTTCATATCTTTAGCTTTTCATTTTTTCATTTCTCATGGAACCTTCAGCGGAAAAAGGGGGTTATGTTTTAATATTAGGGACTACAGTGTTTACCACAGTGATGAAGATGTTTTATTCCCATCTATTTCCATCATAGAATTGTACAGGAGCACTCTTTACATTCATGCTCATTTAAGCACATGAATTGGCAAGAAATTCCCTCAACAAAATATTTGGTACCTTGAAAACAAAGAGGGTGCAGAAGATAGGGAGAAATAACCAAAGAGATAAATTTCTATCTTCATAAGCAGATGTTTGTGTTTGTTTTGTCAGATGTCTTGGAAAGGGAGAAGGAATGTGCTTAAAAGGCACATGGTAACCTGAAGACAGGCAGAAGCTGTTCATGATTTTGCTCTGGAAGTACACTGCATTCCAGAGAGATGTGTGTTTCTCTTCAGTGTTTCCAAGAGTTACAGAGAACAAGGTCACTAGAAAGATACTTTAAGTACAGTACAGTCTAGAAATTAGAGTACCTGTTCCTCATGTCTCAGAGAAATAAAATATCTCCATTTCTTTCAGAAAGCTGAAAATATCCTTGAGCTGTGGTGTAGCCTCTGTACTGCACAGGTGAGACTACTGAGAAGATGCATCCTACCACAGTGGTTATCCATCTGGGTTCTTTACTGGTGTTAATTGATTTGCAAGGTGCCATGAAGTTTGCTTTTTACTGTTTGTTTTGTTGTCATTGTTAATAAACTACATTGCAGAATTTCCATTTATCCTGATGACTCTGTATATGTATATCCCTTCTTATTAAAATCTTGCACAAAAATCATCCATAGGGCAATTTCTTTCAGATTAAAGAGAATTATGAAGGAAAAAATAAATTTGGTGTATTTGTGAGATAGCATGTGTATATCCCCTTTGTGATTTACAGCCTCACCTATATCTCACAGTATGGAATTGTCCCCCACAGGTAGAGGAATCAAAGAAATGTGAGGCTAGAGTGCAAGGAAAAAAGTTTTCTTTATCTTCCAAGAAACCTTGTGAAAAGTGGGCTGCAATGGAGTTCTGATACAGAAAACCAGAAGAGTTTTGTAGGGAGACAACACTGTAGTTTCATTTGAGTTATGTAATTTCAAGTCATAAAACTGGAAAACATGTTGACTGTTCAGAAGTTGCACATTTCATGAAGCATCAGATAGCTATTTTAATTAGGTAAAAGCAGGAAATGAGCATGTGCCATAACTCTTTTGAGCCTATTAATTATAATACGTTCAACACAGAATATTAACTTCTTTTTATAGATGAGTCAATTCTGATATCATTAAAATTACTAACCACTTCACATATTAAATGTGAATTTTGCTTTACCCAATGTGACATGGTAGAATTGTACTACAAAACAAAAAAAATATTATAACTATCAGAATTGCCAGTAAAAATACTTTAGATATGTCATATATACTGGGTTTCTTGCTTATCTAAACTTCTCTTAAATATAAGCTACTGAACCTCTTTTACAGAAGGAGACTAACATCAACTTTATAGAAAGACATTTATTTTCATATAATTACTGCAAAAGAACAATTGGATCTGGATATTGATAAAAGACTGGCTACTGTTTCCTTCATTAATCTATAGGGAAATATGGGGGAATAAGGAAACTGAGCATTCTCCATTCCACAGTTCAAGAAGTATTTTTTAAAGGATTTGTTAGTTGTTCATTCAAATGCGAGGGGCGAGGGGGGTGGGGGGTGAGGGGTGGAAATGTTAATACTCTTATTGGAACAGTTGTGTCCTTGGCCATGCAGGGCAAGTAAGGAGGAAAAAGATTGAAAGTGGGGCTCTCCCACTCAGATCTCTGCCATCAACCCAACTGCCCTGATTCTGCTTATAATGATATTCTCAGCATCCTTTCCTCTTCTTTCTCCTTGACCTTTCACAGCAGAGTTAAACATTTAAATCCATTCAGTTCTACCAGTTCTTATTCTTTCAAACCCTTTTCTTTTCTTTTCCAGTCAAAATATTTTTTTAAAAAATACATAATTTATAGTAAGAAATTTACTTCTATATTTACCATTTCACAAAACCCAAAACCAAACAAAAAATCATCTAACTACTTGGAAACATCTCAATCTGTGTCACAGTTGAAGTTGTTTGATCCCTCTGCCCCTTTCTTTGTGAAGTTTACCTTTGATTCTTACTTCACATGTCTTAAAATGTCTAGCACAGAAGTACTTGGGCTTCCTTGGTAATGACTGCACTGTAAAATATAACGAAGCTCTTAAATTACATGGATGCATAGAATTATCCATTGCCATGGCTGGGTATATGTGATGTGTCTCCTGGACAGCGCAGGTTGTATCTGAGCTCACACCCTGCTTTTCCTCTTAATAGACCATTAAATTTGTCCCTAACCTCTGTACTGCTGTCATCTCTCTAAAGTCTGCAGGTACTTCAGAACTGTGGGACCTCTACCTTTCTGTCACATTTAGTTGAAATTTGCCAACATGTTCACAATTCTACTGTGGCAAGAATAAAGAAACGGACACTGTAACTATATCAACCTAATTTTCATTGGAAAGAAGGCTAGAAAAGAACTGTAGAAAAACAGGACTGGTACATTCCACCCTTCCTTCTGAAAATGGCCAGATTTTCATTGTACATATGGAAAACTTGCTTTAAAAACTTTCCTTCTAACACTAGCCTAGGTTATGAGATTGTGAAAATTTTTACAGGATGCCACATTTTTAAACTGTAAATGAAACAAGAAGTAGATTTCCAGCTAATCTTCTCTGACTAAACTGTCAAATAAAAGCTGTCCTGGAAATTTATGCCATACATTATTAAACCTTTGGTTCTGGATCCTGAGTCCTTTGTGCTTGCTGTGAAGGTAACCACACTACTGCTTGTGACTCTGGGGTTCCCTGTGGCTGGTTTGTACTGACTAACTCACTCTGGCTTTTTAATTATTTTTTTTACTCTTTTGAGAAGACATTCACAAAATATAATACAGCATAAAATGCTCGTTTTCTCCAAGCAAAACAAAAAACTCAATAAGTGTTCCAGCATAGCCTGTCTTGCAGTGTGATTCACTGACAGGCATGGACTTCCAAAGCATGAACTACTTTTCAGTATGAGACTTGTGTATGGTGGAAAAGTGTCATTGAGTGCCAGGGGCTTTTTCTTTCACTCAGCCTTTTTATGGCCTAGGACATAGTGGTCTTTTCCTGCCTCAGTCTGAGATTAAAATTTTGGCTTGTGCTAGTTAATACAGAACTATACATTTAGCCATGTTACATTTTTATTGCAAGATGAGGATTTATGAATTTTAAAAGTCAAGTGTTCTGTCTCCCTTGGCAATATCTTTTTCATTCTTCCTTGCATACTTAACTCAGCTGGCATTTAGAAATAGATTCTTTTTAAAATTTGCTTTGCATCCCAGAGAATTTCCTGACTTTACATATTATTTCCGTTTTTACTTTTGCTACTCCTTTTTGGTGTGTTTTTTTGGGGGTTTTTTTGGGNNTTTTTTTTTTTTCTTTTCAGATGCTAGTGCAGTCTTACAATTTTTGTTTGAGAAGTCATTCTTTTAAAACCATGCACAAACGAGATACCAAAAAGAAGGATTTAAAAAAATGTAATTTTAAATAGATGCCTTTACTTGTGCACCCCAAAATTGCAAGAAGTAGTAATAAAAATGGGAATGTCCAAATCTGGTGAGTAATATAGTCAGGGGATGAAGCAAAGAAGAATGAAGTGCATTCTGGTTTCTGGTGGCTGCTGCTGGCAGATGGTTATGGTTCGACTTTCATTTCCAACTTTTCCTAAGCATTCTGCCTTCTTTGGCTCAAGCACACATTCCACTGAGATCATGTAAACTGTGCCAGAAGTGGACTCTCTAAACTGCATCTCACAGGCAGATGTGATATTTATCTGGAACTGCCAAGGTAAATCTCACTTTGAAGAGATTAGTGGGAAGCCCAAGCTCCTATTTTTTAATGAA